CCATAGTAAGAAAATGGGGAGGGATAAGACCTCAGGAAAATAAAATCGGTACAAGAGTCCCGCAATTTGTTTTCTGAGGCTACGTCAAGATCCTGAAAAATAAGAGTTTGGAAGTTCTCGTTTTAAAACAGCCCTTTTGGTTTCATTTAACATTTTCAAAATAGCTTTCCTTACCACTACCAAGGCCCCCTCCCCCACTCCTCACCAACCCCCTTTGAAAAACTTGAAAAGTTCCGTGTTTAACACAGAAAATCATTCATGTGCCTCAGAGGAATGGCAACATTTTTCTTCCTAAATTTCAAGGAAGAAAATCCAAGTTATCACAAAGCATTACTCATTGTCCTACCTATCCAAAATACCTAATCTTATTTTAACTAGACTCCATCTGAACATCAGCGATACTAAGCTATTCCATGAATAAACATGATGTCACAACGTGAAACCCTGTGACTGAAGTATATAAAAATGTCGCTGGAAGAAAAGACCCCAGCACCCCAACCCCGCCCACCCCCTCCCTGGGGACTTGAAGAGCTGAGCTGAGAAAGGGCAGAAAACAGCAGATTTAAATTTCAAGGTCTTCAAACATTTTCCTGTTCATAGAAAATCCTGTAAAACTAAAAACTGATTCTCATACAAATCCTTGAGTGTGTGAGGTTTCCAGTTGCAAGCAGAGTTTTCTGGAGTGGGATGTGTAACACTGATAAAAGAAAAAAAAAATCTCCAAACAGAAGAAAGGCATAATGGATCCCATACTTGCCTGGTATGTGGTATTTTCTTAAAATTTGCATACTGTCAACATGAAAACAAATAAACTTTAAAACATCTTCACTGGAATGGAGACATTGGAATGAGGAACCGAAGTGCAGAAAAGTTATCAACAAAAACAAAAATGTGTCTGACTGGACTTGCTAAACTTTCTTAAATTCTAGAATTATCCCACTTTGGGCAAAATCCCTTCACCGAAAAGGAGGGTCACTAAGCTAGGTCTCAGATGCTACCCTTTTAAAAATTTCACAGCACAGACCTGAGGAACTGATAAAAAAAAAAAAAAAATACTGCCTTTGTTATACTGAAGCTTTTCACAGCACACATTCTGAAGACTTCAGTGCATATGTTTATCCTCACTATACTCTGTGTGACCGTTACACTATAGAGTTGGAGAGTTACGTTACGTTCTTCCAAAATACATCTGAGAAAACAGGACCATTCAAAGATGTGAATCTGGGGAGACTCTGAGTCCATTCCTGGTGACATACACAATGGGTAATGGAACCCCCCCTTTCCACTGCCTGGGGACCACAGAAAACAAGGCCTTGCTCAGAGTTTCTCTTCATTTCATTTAAGGTGGGGGGGGGACAGGGAAGGGGGGTAGCTACTCATTTTTTAATGTAATTCCACAGATAGTCTGCAAAGAGTGTTGCAAAGAAATTTTGCAAAACAGCCCACACCATGGACAAGATATTTTCTGTGTGTGTTCGCCTTGTAAAATTTTCATCCTCATTTCACAAGAGGTGAGGTACTCTAATGTCTTAGGCCCTTTGCTATAAAGATTTGAGATCTAAATTTCCTGCTGATAACACAAATGTGGGATATGTGGGTGTGAGCCTTTGGGGATTGAAAAGCAGATACTCAAAATCTCATGGAGGGTACCTGACCCCCAAAGACATCTCAGGAAAGGTGCTAATTTCAATGAAGTAGTTCTCCAGCTCTGCCCCTGACAGCACCACTGACCAGGGAGAAGTTAATGAGCAAAGGTTTGTTGAGCACCTACTTTGTCCCTGCCTCTGTGAAGTGTTCACTTTAAGTAAAACTGGCAGCCTCTCTGACTTCAGGCTCCTCACAGTCACTGTTCTCTCAGTGGCGTTTGTGATTTTGAACAAAGTACCAAGAACATAAAGGGAACTTCTGTGCTGTTCCCTTTAGCTCACAATACTTTCTTACATAAAAAAAAAAAAAAAAAACCCGAGCCAGGACTTACATAGAACCTGAATTTTTGAATTAAAGGACTATTGCAAACAACTTGCAACCAAGGAACCAAGATCCAGGCCAGTTAGAAAGTGACAGAAACTAGTTAGAAGCAGGACTATCTCCCCACACAATGTTCTTTCAACTAGAACTACCCAGCTTCAGAGCACTTTGATTTGATTTAATTGGAAGAAATGCATCAATCCCCCTCCAGAGAGAATGCCAAAGGCTGGGTTGAGGTGGGGCTGGAGGAAGAGGGGACCAAGGGTGGGGATACCAGCGATGGAGAAAAGTAGATGAAACTAGGACTTTGGCCTCTTTCTTGCCTTTCCATAAAGGAGGTTTCTAGGAAATTTCTACAAACTTGTTTACGATGTATTCATCACAAACTGATTTGCGACAATTTCTTCCTGGCCCCATCTATGTTCACAAAGGAACGGAGAAGGGAGAGCATTGCCCAGACGTGTGTGTGTGTGTGTGTGTGTGTGTGTGTGTATACATGTTCGTAGGAGTCCATCAAATAATGCTGTCGAATACAGAATCCGGAACTTGAAGAGCCAGAGAAGAAAACGGGGTGTGTCTTGCCAATGTGAGATGCATTTGGTGCAATTCTAATTATTCAACAATCTAGTTGATTTTGTAAACAAATGGTAACTCTTGCTGCATATTGTATTTTATTTCAACCAATCCCTCCCTCGGACCCAGAATAGAATATCTTGTATCATAAATAATCATCACTGGCAAAGCACGATAAAACTTTTTCACAAAAAGTTGTTTCTAAATGTTTTCTTTGCCAATTACATACCATAATCAAAATTTAATATTTAATGTTAACAAACAAATATCTGAAGAGCAATTATTTGATTCTGTCCCCCGCCCCCACATAAAATGAAAACAAATTTCTAGCCTGGGGTTCATGGCATCATTTATTGCTTGGCAGAGAGAAAAGAAGTGTCCAGGCAATTATTCGGATAATCATCAAAAAATATTAAGATATTCAGGGTTTTATGCTCTGTCTGGGTTGACTCTAGAACACGCTAGAAAATAGTTTCTAGGGGGTTATTTTGGTCACAGTCAGGGTTTTAAAGGAACCATTAAAATTACCATAGCAAGCTCTCCTCTCTAGACCTTGGAGTTATAAAGCAGTTTTTCCTACTTAGAGGAAAATCTTTAAAAGTAGTGCCCCATAATCCAAAAGTTTGGAGTTCCTGACTAGTGCTCACATACTAGTTCTGAGAAACATACTACAAATGGGGGATTTTTCAAAACGTTTTCTCTCAAATGTGAAACAAAAGTGAGGATCTGTGGTATCCTGCAGATTTCGGGGGGCCTTCCAGAAGGCCGCCCTAACCCAAAATAGGCCAAGTGATAATTAACGCACGCAGGGAACACAGGTAGCTGAGACATCTGTCTGCTTTCCTAACCAAGGAGGATGGAGAAAAACCTCTTCTCACAACTCCTCCAAACTTCTTCAATATAAGGTGGACACAGGTTTCTTGAAAATCTTGTGCCGTGCAAGAACAGTCATAAATGAATCACAGTTTAGACCTTTTCTTTACACCAATTCTGTATTGCAATTAACATGTCCCTGAACTTTAAGACAGTTTTGATCCTAACTCTAAAAGCAGGCTATAACAACCAATAGTTTATGAAAGAATCTGATTGCAAATCACACAGTTGCAAAGATCTGAATGAAATCTACAGACCATAACATACACACACTACACACAAATACCCTTCACTACCAACAACTCACCAAGAGTTTACGTTTGTGTAAAAGATACAACAGTATTCTCGATTATATTTAACATCTATGGTATATTACCATGTAGAGAAACTTGCAATATTAAAGATAACTCTGCTTTCTTTAAAAAAAAAAAATCATTCCTTGTCCAGTTAGCCAATCAGAAAGCAGGTCACATCTTGTTAGCTGTATTAAATACATTAAACGTCATGAATTCTCTATGGCTCCATTGACAATTCGAGCAAGTGTGCTTTATTTTATCATACAGGCTTAATGGAGTCCCTCACCAGAGTTGAGAGTCAATCTTCCATCTCACATTCCACCAAAGCTATTCCCTAAAAGCTCTTTGCCATCACCCTGCGGGTATCTGAACTCAGCAGACAAGACTGAATTCCTAGCAATTTCCACTTCTGAAAGTGACTTGGGTGCCTCTCTAAGAAAGTCCTTCTCAAATCACTTCCACAAAGCCCCAACTTGCAGGCAGAAGGACAGTGCAGCAGCAGGACCTGCCTGCCTCGTTCGCAGAGAGAAAAAGTCATCCAGCATTAAATATTTAAATTGCGGGAGGCAGACGAAGTTTTGCATTTACAAAGTTCTCAAAGTCCTGTTCTCCCGCTCCCAGAGTTACTGGCCAGGAGGCTGAGGCCCGGGTCTCCGGTACCAGATCACAAATATGCAAAAACTGGAGCTGACTTGAATGTGGAGCAAGCTCCTTCAGGGACTCCCAAGCCAGACAAGCAGAAAGTCAGGAAGCCCCTGGGCCCAAGCAACTGGTTTCAGAATTTAACACGGAGAATAGACAAACGTGCGTCCCTCCCGGGCTAGTTCTGGAAAGTGTGCGGGTCACTCCCCTGCCCCGTCACCTCGATTTTGACGACTTTGAAAAGCAAAGGCAGGTCAAGGCTGACTTCCTCAGAGATTTGTTGAGTTCTGCTTTGGCCACATGCAAATGAGCACAAACCCCCTCGGAATTATTCTAGCTCCAGAAACACGGACGGGACCAACTCAGAGCCTGCACACCCGGAGTTCTGGGAAAGCAGCGTGTCTGGAGACCCGGCGTGCGAACCCAGCGCTGGGCTGCCGTCTGCAAGATGCCAGCAGAAACTGTCCCCAGCTCCAAGAATTACCGTCCCTGGGAACCTCCAAACTGCTGGACCGAGCCGGGCGCGCAGCCCCACGGAGAGGCACTGTCTATCAGGACACTTGCTCGGAATTCAAGCGGCACCCCCGGGAGGAAGCCCTTGTAGTTGCAGAAAAGACCCCAGCCCGCCGGCCAGGGTGAAGTACTTACCTCGGTGCGCGACTGCAGCCTCTTGTTCATCTCATAGATTCGGTAGTCGGGCTGCACCATGTAGGGTGTGTGTCTCCTATAAAATGGGCCGAAAGGAGAAGAATAGAAGGGGTCATGTGGTGTGCTGGACATCTCGCCTGCTTGTGGAAAATCAAGCTCAACAGAGTATCAGTAACGTCCATGCAGAGCACATGGGCTGCGTTCTCCACAGTACAAAGTAGACGCACGCACACGCTCGCGCGCACACCGAGCAGGCAGGCTGAGCACACTGGCTGGGAACTGCTGCGCAGCCCTCTATAGCCAGGCGGGAGGAGAGCGAGGCAGAGGAGGGAGGCGCGGGAGGGAGGAGAGCCGAGCGGAGGGAGAGGAGAGAGCCGAGCGGAGAGGGAGGGAGGCTGGAGGGAGGAAGGGAGGGAGGGAGGGAGGGAGGGAGGGAGGAAGGGAGGGTGGGAGAGAGAGGGAGGGAGGGGGAGGGAGGCTGGATAGCTTTAGGCACCACTGCTTGTTTTTAAAGAAGCAGTTTGTGGAGAGGTCATTTCCTGTCCACACTGTAGACTAGTTCAAAATATAATTCTCCTCACAGTCTGACAAGGTCTAAGGTTTGGTTTTAATTTTTTTCCTCCAGCCTGGACCTTTACAACCTGATTGCTAAGCTTGTTAGCATATAGGTGGTTTAACCACTGCCTGAGCCCCTCACCCCTGACAAGCTTGCCACCCTGGTGCACAAGCCAGGGGACCACACAAAATACCGAAACTGGGGCCCCGCGGGCCCCACCCCCACCGCGGGGCTTGAACTGGGGGCATTCACAACAGACTGTCTTCTACACCTTACTTTTGGCTTGACTGTTGTTGCTTGACTGTTGGTGCGATGTTTAAATATCATCCCCCAGCCCTCCCCTCCTCACCCCACCCCCACCCTGCTCCTCAGCAGCCCCCCTCAGCTCTTAAGCCTTCATTCAAGCTGCTGTAAGGTGACCTGGACACAGGTTGTAGAAGCATTTCTGCCCAAAAAAGGAAAAAAAAGAAAAACAACCCCGCATTCAGAATGTGGAATCCCTAAAATATGTGCACGGAGAAAAAACAAAAACAAAAACTCCAGAAGCAGACCTCCCAATAAGATAGGAAGGGCAGGAAGGAGAAAACTTCCACCAAAAAATGGCCATGGAAAATTCAGTTGAGTAGAAAATTGCAGATAATTGAATGGATCATCCCTAAATAACATGTCCAACTCTGATGGGAGGCAAGGTCTGTATTTTCCAAGATTGGTTAAGTATATAAATCTTTCCCCAATGGTGGTATAGGGTGACTGGGAGAAAACCCACACAGCCCACCAGAGGCACAAGGGTCTCCACAGAGAATCCAGGGTTCTATATGACAAGTGCATTTTTCTGGAACCAAATGACAGCCAGACATGAGCCCTCTACGCAAAGCCCAGCCCACAGAAAATGTGAAGGTGTAGAGTTAGCACCTAGCTGGGTCGGTGGTATTAAAAAATCAGAGACCACCAAAAACCATGAGGCATGCTAGGCTTGAATGTAAATGCATGCAAATGAGACATTTCTTCTTTTTTAATAAGCAGATTAATTAACTTTCTGCCCCAATCATGGCTTGGGGTATCTCCAAGTCACTAACCAACAGGGGATAAGGTATTGCTCATTCTGCAGTTTATCCCCTAGGAATACTCAGGCATAGAAATGCCCCAAATCGCTGTCTGGATCAGCCCTTTTCTGCAATTCATGAAACGTTAGCAGAGTCACCCCCTTCACCCCCCAACTGGCAGTGCAGCCCCACAGTCTGTGACTGGCCTGGATGAGATGGGGGAGGAACAGCTCCCAGGCTGCTGGAAAGTGGTGGGAGAAGACCCAGGGGGGCCGGTGCGGGGGTGTCAGGTTTCATCCCTTAGCCAAGAGCTAGACCAAATCTGCTGCAAGGTTTGTCAAAACACACAACCTTTAAACGCAGGATTTCAAACAAATTTGGCATGATTTATGTGTGGGGAAGATGGCTGCACAAAACCTGACATCACTGTGAGTTCCCAGGGTGGGTCAGGCCCGCCCAGGTGAGACAGTGTGGCTGGTTCAGGCCCAGAACACGGCACACAGAGTGGGTGCAGGAGCGCAGCCCAGGGGCCACACCAGGGAGGTGCACAGGGACCCACGCGGGGACCCCCGGCTGGGCAAGGTTACTGCTTGGCCCTCTCTCCTAGGACCAGTCCAAGGACCAGTCCAAGCTGTCATTGGGGTACTTCTTGCTATTGGGGCCCATGGACTCCAAAACTCAAAAGCAGCTGAAGCTTGACGATGCCCTGTGCCCCTCCCCCATCTCTGCTCCTGCCAGAGTCTTCAGCAGCCTCCTCGCACTTCTGACTCAGCCCCCTTCTTTTTTGTTTTTTTATTAGTTTCTTTTTACATCATTTGGTGCCTTTTCTCATGTCACTTGTAACCCCTGTGGACTTCGCACCACCAGCTCCCCCGTGTGCCATCACCATAGTCCAGTGGGGTCCCCCCACCCTCCTTCTATTCAGGATGCAGCTGTTGCAGCAAAGGATCCCGGGTCCTGTGTTGCTTCTTCAGGGTTCTCTGCTGCCACCCGGGAAATGTCCAGGCTCCTCACTAGCTAGGCCTGGGAAGGGCCCCTCTCAGAAACATACCCAAAACACACTATTTATTTACTCGTTTACTTGCTACACGTGATCTTGAAGTTGCAATCTCACGTCCTGGGCACACACATTTCTACTTTATCCTTGGCCCCTTACAAACATCCACGCATCCTTCTGTGCAGTGAAATGGTGTCCTCCCTGGGGCCCTTTTGTCACGCCTGGTTCACCTACTCCTTCCCTCCAGACACCCACGCAGCGTGCACTGTATCAGGGAGGTGCCGAGGCCGGAGCACGGCTCAGCTACACTGACTCTGAGCAAGCAAGTCGGCCTCAGTGTGCCTCAGTCACCTTCTTTCTAAACTGGGGACAATGAGAGTCACAAGATTAGTGCAAAGGATTTGATGACGGAGCACTCTAGAATGTGCTAGAATCACAAACATAAATGCTTTAAGATATGAAAAGCTATTGCTATTAATAGCTACGATACAGATATACATAGATACCTATGTGTATCAGGTATCGGGTACCTGATAATAGACACTTGCTTAGGAGCTAAGGGGTATGGGTAGGCCAAGTGGGCCCAGCAGGGGGCTCCCCCAAACCCCCCCATCCCAGTCTTCCTGCCCCTGTGATCTAGAGAAAGTAAGAGAGAGACAGCTTATCACCTCTGAGTTAGAAGAACTCAGAAGCCTTTGGGAACATAATTTCAAACTGATATGTGTTAGGCGAGAAAAAAATAAAAAGAAGACCTAAAAAACGACTTCACCCTTTGGGTAAAAGCGTAACTTTGGCAGGACCCTGGTGGTGTAAGAGGTTAAAGTGCAGTTCTGTGAAACTGTTCTGAGCCACTGCAGCACGAGTTCGATCCCCGGCCAGGGAGCTGACCCACACGGCACCGCAGACCTCTCCTGACCCGCCCCGCTGCTCCCCTCAGCAGTGGATTTCCATCAGTCGGCCTGTTCTGTTCACTCTCTGGTGAATTCTCTCACCACTACGACCCTCACCTCTGGCCTGTATTCATAAATAAATAAAATCTTTAAAAAAGAAATGTGTAGCTTCAATATTAGAGAATTCACACAATTGTGCAGTCTGTGCAGTATTCCAGTGCACAAATACCCCTTGTTCATGTCACGGTAAACTGTGTGGCTGATTCAATGACGCTCCCCATTTTACCTCCAGGAGGTTTGGCCCTGAGACCCTGCCCTTCTTCAAGGTCATGCAATGGAAAAGGGAAGAGAGGACCAACTTGCACAGCGCCTGCTGGGCCTGAGGCTCCTGTTGCTGAGAGCACAGGTCCATCCTCAGCTCAGGGCACCTCTGTGCTTCGGCTGCCATGGTCACGGCGGTGCTGACCCCACCGCGGGGCCAAGGCCTTTCCAATCGAATTCAGAGGGAGGAGAGACCCCACTGCAGTGGTGGGGTGAAGTGGCCCCTCACCTGGATTCTATTCTTTTTCATTTCAGAGGTCCCCTGTCTCCCGGCCCCCACTCCCCCTGGCACCTTGCCAAATACACCCACCCACCCCATGCCCACCCCATGTAGTCTGTGTCCCGAATCTTCCAGCGTGTTCTCCCAGAGCTGCAGGTTCAGGGCTTTCATCTTTGCACCATCAGGTTACCTAGTAGCTCTTGTCACTTCTCTGTTATCGCTGGTTCCCTGCTTCTTGAGTGACCAGCTAGGAGCTGTCTATTGTTGCCTGGGACCAAACTGAACTGGGAAGTCAAAGGACAAAGTGCTCTTTCAAGTTTCAAGCCTGCAAACCGGAGTGTTCAGGAGACCAGAACACTGGTCAATAAGCAATGTCTGCATACCAGACAAGAGAGAGCAAGAGGCCCCATGCATAGTCTTTCTACCACCATGGAAGGAATCGCGCAAATTTATTTTTGCATGTTGAATATTGAGCCACACACACTTTCGAGGTGTGCTGTCCCCATGTCATGCTCAGATTGATCCTGCACAGTGTTTGAAATACTTGACACTTGGCAAAAAGAAAGGATTGCATATAAAACCCATATTTTCACCTCTTTTTGTAAAATGAGATGCTCTGGCGGCCCTGGTCCAGCCCTGCCTACACAGCAGCCGGCAGCAGCCAGCGCTCCTTTTTCCTTTATTGCGAGTCCCTCAGTCATTGTCTCTCCCTTCAGTTATTCTGTTGCACCTCCGGATTCCTTCTAGCAAGTTCTGCTTGCTCCAGAAAACTGGTTTTCCTTCTAGCAAGTTCTGCTTGCTCCAGAAAACT